GCACTGCTTCTAGATTTGTTAGGGTCCTCTTCAGTGAAAAAGTCTGCAACTTTACCAATAATACGGAACTGCTCACTTAACTGCTGCAATGGTAACTGTTTTTCTTCAGGTTCTTCTTCATCTTCTTCTGTTATGTCCCTCCTTTGTATCTGTGCATCAAGCTCTGCTAACATTTCCTCTGGGCTCCTGTCTTCATCATCATCTTCTAAGAGCTCATTCACATCTTCTTCATTCATATCTTCAAAACCATCACCTGGTAATCTCCTTGCCAGCTGAACAATTTCCTGAACCTGACTCAAGCAAGGGGACACCAGTGAAAGAATTAACCACAGAAGACCATAACTTTCCCCAGCCTGCATTTAATGTTGACTGAGGCACTTCATTCCATGCACTTCTAGCATAGCTGATAACATCTGCAATGTTAAATTTATTCCAGAAGGTTGGTACTGCCAAGTTGGAGTCAGAGTCCATTGATGCAACTAGTTTTTTCATAACTTTTTTGTGTAGTTACACTTGAATGACTTAATAACTCCCCGATCCAGTGTTGTATTAAAGATGTTGTATTTGGAGGTAAAAATACAACTTTTACATGTGGGGTCACATCCAGCAAAGCTTGTGGATGAGTACGGGAATTATCAAGAATGAAGAGAGCCTCGAATGCAAGGTTCTTGCTGTGCAGGTAAAACTTGACTTCAGGAAAAAAGTGATGCTTAAACCAGTCAATAAATATTTCCTCTGTCATCCATGCTGACTGGTCTGACCTCCAATTTACTGTTAACATGCTTTTATCTACACCTTTCAAAGCATGAGGATTCTTAGAGTGGTAAATAACCATGGGCTTACACTTGAAATCACCTGATGTATTACTGCAAAGGAGCAAGGTGAAGCGATCCTTTGCTGCCTTGAAACCCGGTGCACTCTTCTCTTGCTGACTGATATAAGTTCATGTTGGGGTTTTTTTTCCAGAAAACACTTGTCTCGTCAGCATTAAACACTTGATGTGGCTCATAGCCACCCTCAGAAATAATTTCCTACAATTCAGCAGGAAAATTACTTGCTGCTGTATGATCAGCTGAAGCACTTTCACCAGAAAACTTAATATTATGTAACTTATTATGCAACTTAAAGGTGTAGAACCAGCCTGTGCTAAACACACACTCTTTTTCAGGCTTTCCTGCCTTATCACACACTGCTTTAAGCAACTGTAAGGCCTTTTCCCTAATTAAGAGGAAATTAAGTGGTGCATCTTTCTTTGTCTTTTGTTCAATCCACTCATGCAACAAGTTTTCTGTTTTATTTACTTGTTGGGACTTACATGTCATTCTTTTCATGAGATGACATCTTGGGTTCTTTTTAATTGTACGAACCAACGCTTCATTAAGGCCATAGGCCCTCACTATATCCACCACAAGTGATCCACTCTTAAGCTTGTTTAATATCTCAATTTTCTTTGCAATTCCTATACTTGAATGCTTAAACCTTTTCTTGTCACTTTCAGCAACACTTGTATGCTTACTGGGTGCCATTATTACTTGGCAGATTTAGCAAATGGCAATGAGATTAAGAAAATATGTATGTATATAAACACAGCTAGGTTCCCAAGTACCTCCGTCCTGCACGCGTATGAACCAAACCTGAGGCTTGGAGCGTCGTGGGTGTGGGTGGCGGGGGGGATGGCAGTAGGCCTCCCCCATTGACTCAATGGTATAACCCACCGCGGGCGACTGGGTGACCATGTGCTCAAAATTTGTTCCCCTCCCGCGAACCGTGTTAAATTGATCATACGACGTGTTATATAAAAATGTGTCGTAATTCTTCAATTGTGCTATACTCAAATTGTGCCAGATAAACTCGTGCTAAATAACGGTCTACTGTACTATGCATTATAGTACACAATGGACTAAGTTTTTCACTCTATGACTGACATCTTCTTCAGAACATCTTTCTGATCAGCAAGGTGCTCGTACGCCACGTTGTTCGTAATATTCCGTTTCATGCCCTCAAGAGCAGTGCATGCATTGTCACAGTACAGAATGCTAGCCAGGCTCACAATCTTTCTCTCCTTACAACCACAGATGCCATTACTGTGACAATTTTAAAACATCTCTCTCAGGTCTTGCAGTGGTACTGTCCTTCTACCACATACAATTGTTCAATGTAATTTCCAGACATGTGGTGATGACATTCTGGAACAGCTTGAGCTCCAAGATCTTCTGATCCTTAAAGTAGATACATACATACTGCCTGCCCACGGGCAGAGATGCTACCCCTGCATTGTAGCTCACTTAACTTTTGACTGCCATGAGCTTCCATCATCGGTTTATATTGTGGGACACCGTTCACAAGTTCAAAAGGTGATTCCTACACCACAAAAGTGTAGAAATTACTGGCAGTTTGGCCATCAGGTGAAATATTACATGTTCATGGCTGAATGCCCAGTCTGTGGTGCTGATGACCATACCAGTGCATCTTGTGGCCTACCTCCCTCCTTCCTTAATAGTCATGAAGCTCATCCATCTTATTCTCATCATTTCCAGGTTTACTTGAATGAACTTGAAATCCATTGTCTCAAAGAGACAGAAGGCTTTAC